TGTTCCCGAATCCCGCCCGAATTTGGGTGTTTTTACTCCCGAAAAATAGAGACTCTAGTGATCACATGATTCACACGCGTTATCGCCCACACGTGTGGCCGCCATTCATGTGAACATAAATTACGTGCGAATTCAATGTGGAGTTATTGATGGCCACCATATATGCGATCACTATTGGAAATACATTGGCTGAACAGACGCGCGCCGGCCATCGAGTGTGTCTGTTGTGTTGGCCAATAATAGTGGACGTTATTTGTAAACATATGGCCGTAACAGCTGTGCGTTTGGATTGCAATTTATTTGTTATGAAAGCGATTAATAAACTTATTTTGTAAATATTTTTGTTGCAATAATTAATATGTAATAAATATTTGATAATTAAATTAAATTTTATTGATTTGTTTTAATAATAAATTCATTATTTTATTATTTCATTTGTTTTGTTGTATAATTTGTTTTAATTAATTAGTGGTTAAAGCGATGAATGGCTTAATAAACCGTTTTGTGGCCACAAATGGTTGCCTTATTAGCGGTAAACTTAAGCACAACTGTCGCCCAATAGTGTACATGAGTTTTACAATTAATTATAAGTTTTAATCAATATTAACATCAATTAAATGGCATGTAATGTAGCATGTTTATATTTATAACAACCCCATCACCCCCTCCCCCAACAACTGCCCCCTTGTCTACTGTCCACTTCTGTTATTTTGTTATTTTAAACACTGTATTCATATCAAGAGTTGACTGTAGTTTTAAATGAAAACTTAAATAAATTAAGTTAATTGTAATTTATATCCAAATAAAACAGACAAAATCGGCGACAATTGGCTCAACAATTGGGCCAAAAAGTGGCGGTCAATGGGTTTAACATACACTACGAAAGGGTGGGCACCGGTCAGCACACAGTACTCTTACTTCCCGGCGGTATTGGTATAACATTTTTGTTGTCAATTATTACACAATTTAGAAATAATTAATTAGACTATAACTCAGTTAAACCTCCTTAGGGTCGACCCGAACCGACTTTGGGGCCCAACTCGAGACTATGAATCGGGAGGCGTTCACTTTGATAGCGTGGGATCCGCCCGGTTATGGTTACAGTCGACCCCCGGAGCGGGACTGGAATGACTATTATCGACGCGACGCCAAAGTGGCCGCACAATTCATGAAGGTATGATATGAATTTTTACCACATCTAAATACAATAGATAATAATTAGTACAAAACTAACATTTATTGTACGGTTGACACGACTGTGTCTGTGTTGGGGCGCACCAGGCGTTAGGTGTGGCCAAGTATTCACTGCTGGGTTGGAGCGACGGCGGGAGCACTGCGTTCATCATTGCGGCCGCGAATCCGCTGAGTGTTCACAAACTGGTGGTCTTCGGGACCAACGCTTACGTGTCGGCTGAAGACAATCGGCTACTGTTGGACATACAGGACGTAAACAAATGGCATCCGAAGGCCCGACAGGCCTATGAGGACGTGTACGGACCGGACGTTTTTAGGCGCCTGTGGGCCGACATTATTGCCGCACAATTGCGATACCACGACATTTGTAGATCAGATTTGGCGGCCATTAAACAGCCGACTCTTATACTTCATGGTGATAGGGATCCGCTCGTGGACCCCATGCATCCGGAGTACCTCCTGAAGCACATACCCAGCGCCCGGATCCATCGGTTCCCTACCGGTGGACATAATATTCATATGACATTTTGCGATGAATTTAATGAAATTGTTGAACAATTTTTGCTTCAATAGTGATACTATCATATACTCTATACAACACAATTAAATTGCATTTATTGTGCTTTATTAATATAATTATTTTTATTATTATTATTTAATTTTTTAATGCAATTTTATTGTTTAATTTGTGATTTACAAAATGTGTGTTTTTAATTACTGTTATATTTAGAAGTCTTGGCGGTGAATAGCAACCGAATTATAAATAATTTAAGCTATTTTTATATTTATTTTTTAATTATACTATTTTTATAAAATTAATCGCAAAATCTAATCATTAATTGACGTCAAATATGTCCGATATTATCTATAAATAGCAAATAATTTGATTATTAGTTTAATTACACTCAATATAACAATTGGTATCATCTAATTAATGAAAATGTATCGAGATCAGCAATTTTGTCAACTAGTTAATAGTTGTACTAAAGTTTACAAGTGTTTTATCAAATTGTCAAACCGGTGATATCCTATTTTTCATTACAACAATATTTATCAGACTTTCAATAAATGTTTTAAGATTGAGATAAAGAGTACAAAAGACGGTGAAATGTATACATCTGTCGATATTATAATATATATGTTTATTATTAAAAATATTATTTATTTTTAATTTAGTAATTTTTTAAATATAATTTACAAATTATTTTTCAATGTGTTTCACTTACATATAACTTATAGGTATATAAACTGCATACTAAACGGACATAATTATAATTTCATACAAAAACATGTCAAGTCATAAACTATTTTGACATCTCTTAGCCTATTATCACTACAAGTAATCACTACAAGGTCTTCATGAAAGGTATTGTTATGTTATATATCACTGTCTGATTGTTTCAATAAATAAAATGTCTCTTTACATTATTATTAACCATAAATTATGGTCCATAATATAATTGTTTATCAGATATAAAAAGCTTTTTACTATTAATATACATGAGTATGTATTTTACAATTTTATGAACCTATTGAAATATTTCTATCAATTAATTTAAAATAATTTATTTAATTTTATATCTGTGTTATTATACGGTATATTATAAGTTACTTTAGTACCAAGTTTTAAGTTCTATGATGTATTTTATTATTTATAAAGTTGGGTGATTATAGAATTTTATAAATTTTTACATTAATCATTAATTATATCCAAATATTTTAAATTTCAAGAATATATTTTATAGAATTGCAAATATTATGCTATATCTTAATAAATATAATTTACTTTATTTGAAATATTTGCGAAAGTTTACCATTTCACGTAATTATTCAGTATAATAAATACAGCGATTGTATGGAAACTTATTATACAAGTATTGGGTAATCATTTCGATAAGTAATCGTTTTGGTGAACAAAATAACAAATCAATCACTAAATGAATGTCTATTTTAATATTGTATGATATTGTTTAATATTGTAATTATGTTTTTAACGCTTACTTTGATTAAAAAACAACAGAATCTTACAAAATAGTATTTATTGCAATAAATATGTAAAAATAATACAAATTGTTTCTCAATTATTTCTAATTAATTATTCCTGAAAATATAATTATTAAATAAATTATTCTATGTTGAAAATAAATCTACCGTAATCTCAAGTTATTATTCATAACATTTGTATTGACTTAAAAAATAAAATTGTGGAAATTTTGTCTTGGTTTTTAAAAATCTAATTTAAAAACTATAAATGTATTTGTTTAAGAGTTAAATTTTTTTAATTTTAATCCAGGATTAGTTAATACGATTACATTCAATCCATTTAATCTAATATTGAGATCATTTTTAGTGCATTTATGATAATCTCATTATATTACAAAATATAGTGCAATCGACAACACAATAGTCATTGTAATTGTAATATTTAAATCATCACAACAACAATAAAAGTATTAATGTTAATTAATTATAATTAATAAAGTGTTGATATCCTTTAGTTCATACAATACACTCAACATTGATTACAGTGTAATAACAAGAACAATACTCGTGTAATAAATTTATTTAACCATCATCATGTTTATTATTTATTTAATTTATTAGCCACACTTATATTATTGGAGTAGATTTTTTATGAGCATTAACATGCAATTAAAATGGAAATTTTAGCATGATCTAATGAAATGCTTACGGATATATAAATCAATGTTTATTTTAATATAAGTGCAAGTATTTTACACTGCGAATATTTTATTCATGCCACTTTCTTGGTAATTATCTAATTTATACTATAAAATTTATATGCAATAGTATGATGGTAATTCTGAAGAACTATTGCACAAAGCATGCTAAAAATACAAAAATGGTCTGTCTTGATCATAAATTATGATTAATAACGTTAATTAACAATGTATTTGGTTAACAATAAAAAATGAGAGAGAGAGAGAGAGAGAGAGAGAGAGAGAGAGAGAGAGAGAGAGAGAGAGAGANAAACAATGTAAAACAACATTAACAACAAACCAACAAAAAAAGCAGTTAACAAAAAATGTCATTAAACTCACAGCCAATAAAGTGTCACACAATAGGGAACTGGTCTGAAGAGAGATTGTAATTGTTAATTATGTTATAAGTTGTGGTAAAATACAGATTAATGTCTATCAATAGATGATAAGGTGAGGCCAGGCCTCCAGAAGCTGGCGATTAACAGCCAATCGGAGGCCTTGCGATTGGCTATAGATATGACAATGCATTTAATGGCTTGATTTGATGCACTTCTGTGTGTTTAGCGATAATCATACGTACAGTATATATAAACCACAGGTAGATATCATGTATACTAGAGATGACTATACAATACGATACATAAAATAACATTAAATTACATTTAATTAAGGGTTTGCCTGACATATACAGAGAGTCTGTGTATTTGATTTTGTATATGTAATGATAACTTGCATTATTGGCGCACATACTCTATCACTACACGTTATTTCTATGGAGTAAAGCATAGCTCTATCGCATTCACACTACAGAATATTCAACGAGATAAAAAAGTTTTGTGCTTTTTATACCATCAAAAGCTGTTGGGTTTGTTTTGGTTGACAACAATTATCATCACTCCAGAGTTGGTCCCAAAAAATGTGCCAATCATTAGTACCGACAGTGATTTTATGAAACAATTTAAATTAGTCCATGATACATTTTGTATATGAATTTTCTACGAGTTTTCACCCGTGATTTTCACTGATATATACATACCATAGACAATGACCGCTCAGCATCGGTTCGAGTGCATACACGTGGACAGAGCGTGTTTGAAATCATTGATCAAGCACAATTGCTGGACAGCCATCGTATTGGGTGCGCTCATGTTGTCGTTGGGAATAGTGTTGAAGTCGTCGGTCATCGACACCACTTCTGCCACCGTTCAGAGCAGTGGTACGTATTTTTTAAAAAATTTATTTTGATCTAGGTAATTTATATGCGATTGAATGTGTATGGTATTTTTTATTGTTAAATTTTTAAAGTATTTGTTTATGAAAATTGCATTATATCATATAGTATTGGTTAATTTTATTAATCATTAATACATTTAAAATATGATTAATTCAAATGTTTTTTGTTGTTGTGTTTTGTGTTTAAATGTTTTTTGTTGAAACACTTATAAATTACTAGATAATGAACATCTCGTACACTATATATTGTTATTATAAATGTTTGTTTCCATAGTTTAGTAAATTGTTATTTCATTTTTTGTCTATAAAAACGTAAATAACAACGTAAACCAGAAATGTAAATATATTTACCGAGTGCTGTATAACTTAGTTGGTATACAATTAACTATTGACTGAATATGTTTAGTAAAACACATTTTGCCAAAACAAACAACGAGTTCATAGACTCCCGGTTTGAATGCCTTTTGTATTCTCTCTATTATCTGATAAGCAATTTCACTGACGAGTAAGACATCGAAAGTGTGAATTAATTGCAAAAAATACATATAATAGTCAGTAAACCATTGTTTGTGTACCAAATGATAATCAATTTATTATTGTCTATATTTGGGATAACAATTGAAAGACTACACTTTTATATGGATGTTATCATTTTGTACGAGGGTAATTATTTAACTTCTCTCTCTCTCTCTCTCTCTCTCTCTCTCTCTCTCTCTAGTAATAAATTTTATTAATTACTTATTTATCAATACATTGATAAGTGTTAAACTAAATACACAATAATTTCATCATATTGTATAATTGAGTAAATATAATAAATTGAATATAATGTACTGAATTATAATATAGGATGTAATAAACAATTATAATTAATTTTTATAAAAATATTCCGATAAAAATGAATAGAGAATTACTTATAAATACAAATAACAACTGCTAACTGAAATTAAAACATAATTATTAATAAATATAAAAAATGATTATGGTTTCTATCCTTGAAATGCATTGTTAAACCAAAAAATTACAATTATTTTAATTACTTAAATATAATAGTGTTTTATTGAATTATAACAACACATAAAGTGTTAATTCATTGTCAGAACTGCTTTTGCATACAATTAAATAATTTGTTAAACGCTATCGTTTATACATAACAAGTGATCATGGTCAGGTATTGGGTTAGATTATAAACCTGAATTATTGCCAATATTGCCATAACATGATAATCTAATAAATATTTCATATGACAAACTTGCACAGTAAACGCTGCCCTAGACATGACATAGCCCATTTATGATTACAGTTGTCAAATTATTTTATATTAATTAATTTTAATACCTACATTTTTTATACAGAGTTGTTATATTGTTATAAATGCAGTCAAAATAGTAAATAAATCAATCTTTAATTACACATTGCATTTTAATTACCGCACATTACTATAAACATTTAATTGTTAAATTAATAATGGTTTGAACAACAGATAATTAACAGGTACATTACATTAAAACAATTTATTACTGTTTTAATTAACCAGTAATAACTAGTAAAATATAGTACAACATAAGTAAAATATGTCCAGGAGAGTACAAATTAGCATTTAAACTAATATAATATGTAAATATTCTCGACACATTTACTAAAGTATTATGTATTATCTAATTAATAGGGATGTTATTCATACTGATTGGCATATTTGTCATATTAATGGGTCCGTTCGCCGCCTTATATGACTTGATATCTAAGCGCAACCGTCGCCGGGAAAGGGAGGCCAACGGACAGTCACCGTCGGGCAGTGGGCCGTCGGGCCAATCGGATTCAGCCGATCCGCCCACATATAGCCAGGCGATGACATCGGCCGTGAAGGGCCCGAGTGCTACCTATACCATGAGGTATGGCCCGCAAGTGCTGTCGCCCCAGAATCTGACACAAAATGCCGACTCTAGACCCCCTCCGCCCACCTATGAGGAGGTGGTACTAGAGTTAGGTAACCGCCCGGTGCCCGGCCGGCCGGTTCCTATACCGTAATTGCTAATCATGGTCATTGCTAACTTGTAAGTCATATTTTCATGTAATAAAATAACGTGATATATACTCATACACTGTATATTTTTATGAATTTTATTTTATTATTTAATATATCGTGTTTTTGTAATGTATAATAAACTACTGTATTATAAATTTTCATTAATAAATCACAAGTTATTTATTAATTGTGGTCTAATTTATTAATTACTCTATTTATATAAACTTTGTTTTATATGGTTTTAATTATTTCACACCTCATTTGGACTTTAATATGCAATAAATGTTTTTAACGGTTTCTTATGTAATAATATTGAGTTTGTTTGCATTGAGTACACCATTGATAACAGGTTTATAGTAAGTTATTAATTATAATTATCTCTATTACATAGAATAACCATAATAAAAATTAAACCCTAATAAGTTAAACATAATCACCCTATCCTTATCCGTAAATGTCTATGATGAGATTCATATTTGCGCCATTAATATACAAAAAGTTAGAAATTAATTGAAATGATTATCGTGGTGAAATAGTTAACCGCAAAAAAGTTTTTGTGATTTTAATTAAAGTTTCAAAAAAATGATTACAACATTAAATATAACTATAATTTACAAGATTTTTAATAATAATTGTAATAATAAGATAATATCCAAACGTTATAATAAATTGTAAATAAAATCAATTAATAATAATATAATTAAATTTATAATAAACGCATTTCGTTTTATTTACTATAATATATTGTAAAATATAATTTAATAATAATATAAAGCTTTATATTACTGTATATAAGCGTTAAAAGTATATAATATTTGTAAGACTAGAAAACAATGGATTGTTTTTTGTCGAAAATTCTTGTCATTGTTTTTCGTTGGTTTGAGTTTACAATTAAATTAAAACTTTTAAATCGGTAATGAGTGAGAAATTAAAATTAATTGTACTTTTAATGTGACAATAGATTTAAAACAGCAAAACAAAAAACTCTTTGACATAAGTCTGATTTCAAATATCACCAAAAATATCATATGAAAAGTCTATCAATTGGTAAAAATTTGGCAAAATTCGCATAATTTGATTGAAAATACAAATACAAGCTTTCCTTTGAGAAAATGAATGTCGATAATAATT